TGGAGGCAAAAATTCTGCAGGCCCGTGTGTTCAGATTTGGCTCTACGTAGTCGAAACCCCAGGTGGTCGAAATTTCTGGAACCCTCCACTACGACATTTCTCGTAATCATACGGTGATTTTGGGATGTTAAACCCCACATATCAATCAATCAATCCATCGAAATGCGACCGCCGCGGCTGGGAGCGAACCCACGACCTTTAAGCCAGCAGCCGAGCACTAACCTATGCTTCACTGCTGCGGAGTTTATAAAAAAGTCTACTGTGAGAGCTCATATTTACATCGAAAGCTGTGGAGGAAAAAAAACAAACACATGAGCCAAGATAATGTGAGCATCACTTTGTGCTGCCAGAAAAGTACCCATTATCGTGTGTTCAATCTTAGAGAGTTTTACTGTTCATGAGCATGGACCCATGAAAAATGTTCGTAATGATGATGCCATAAAAAACCAATAGCTAAAGTGATAACAGTTTTATTTCAGTGATATGATTAACCGAAAACCCTTTGGTGCACCTTCAGTACTGGCTAAAACTTCACTGTGGAGTAGCAAATCAGCCTTGTGAAGCAGTTACCTGTCTCATATTTATGAACACAACTTCAGAAGTCACTAAGCATTAGTAGTTATACCATGTTTAACAAAATAAAGGAATATACACATTCACATACATTTACATATATTATCCCAAAAGATGAAATTAGCTCACTGTGCCTCGTTTCCCTGCGGGAATCCCTACATTTCTATCGATATCTGCGACATCAGGCTGACCGGCATCTTCTTGTTGTACACTTCAAATGATTGCTATACAGAGCAGATTTCTTTCATGCTTCAAGCTGCAAATTTTCCCCTACTCGTATTTTTTTTTACCATTGAAAACAACTACAGTATTAGGATGACGTCTGTGTTTTTAATGCAACCAATGTGCTCGAGTGGTGAAGTGCATGCTGTTGCCCTTAATGTACAGACTCGCAAAGCTCTTTGTTCTTTGGCAATTAATAAAATAGAACATTCAATAAATAATTGTTATATAGTTTCTGAATTTCAATGGTGCACTACCCAAAGTTTGCAAGAATTAAAGGCTTTGCATTTTATTTACGCTGATTTCATCGAAATGTTCCAGTGTTGCAGTGACCAGGAATGCACTCCACGAAAAAAAGGAGGGATAATGTGCACTGGTGAGCAGGTGCCATCTTCAGCAGCTGTGTCCATGCATGGACCAATGTGAATGCATTATCCCATGCATTCCTTCTGATGCTGCCGCTACAACATAGCCCTAGTCTCCCTGGCTTTCCCTGCATTCGGAACTTCATGGAAAGCAGCGTGATCAGAGGAGTGGTACCCAACATGCTGCTCTGTTGCTAGTTGGACTGTGTCGTACCAGATCTACATTTTTGCTTGCCCTCTTGCAATCGGCCATTGCCAATAACAGTGGAGGCCAGTCTTTAAGAATTGGGGAGACGGATCAGTTAGGGGTGTGCGAATATTGCATTTGTAATATTCGTATTCGATTTGATAACCACATACGCCAAAAATTTTGATTATTCAAACTAACTCAAATATTCTTCGAATATTCGATGTTCATAAATATTCGTTAGCATATGTCACTGTGAAGAACTTACGATTTTTCACATTTGCGATAAGAGCCTTAGTAGATATGCAGCGATTTCTATGACTTTTGCATGAGTGCGGTGATGCCTGCATGAAAATTCACAGGAGCCTGATAACGGCTACCGACGAATGCGGCAGCACCTTATCGTGACAAAACTACCAATAATAAACATCTCGATCAATCTAAATCATATACTGCCTGCGCAACAGTGCGCGTGGCTTAGCGGTTCAGCGCTGTTACGGCTCATGTAAGCGCACCGACCACTCCGTCTGCTGCCGTGCCCTTGTGCACGGAACAGCAAGTGCATATCAATCGTGGAAACGAAGGTAACACTACGCTGCCGCACTAGCTCAAGAAAAAAATTCTTACATCTTTCCTCGGTCCCGTGCTGAGCAAGCACGAATAAAAAAAAAAATTGGCCTCGTATCTGCATGTTTCCCTGCTAATGTCGTCGAAAGACGTTAGTCTTGCTTCTGGAGAGAGTGAACAAAATGTTTATTTGATGTTCTGCGCGAGAAAATCGGTGAATTGTATTCCAAAGGCGCTGTGTTAGAGAGGCTCGATCCGCGCAGTGAAGGCGAATGAGCGCATCGAGGCACGTCAGATACGAGCATGTCAGATACGAGCACTATCTGGCAGTTATCTTAGAAAGCAAAAGCGAGCGCGTCCTTCTTGGAGGTAACAAGGTGTAGAACGCAAAGCGACGGGCAGGTGCCACCACTGTGTCGTCTTAGCAAAGCGCCGGAAACACTTGCTTTTTTGAGCATCGCGTTGCATTGTCAGCGCAGCGTGATAAACGCTATGGTCTTTAGAATTACTTATGTATGCTTTCTCTAGTGTAAAGCCACACATATAAAACTATTGGCGTTGTGTTATGGTACCTCAGATATATGCAATAATTGCTTTTTATTTGACAATCGCACAACTATGAACACTCAATCTTGAGCAATATTGCTGGGCTCTGCCGATGGGGTTGGCTGTTTGGGGTACATTTTGGTGCCGTTTGACGTTTCGTTAGGGCACACAAACAGACAAATGTACAGACAGACAGACAGACAGACCAAAATTTTTGCGTCGAAGTACCCCAAAAAAGACTATCGTCTTTAAGAAAAATCTCTATTCAAGGGCAAATGCACGCGTATACGTTACATAGAGCGGCACTGATGGAGTGAGCTTAGTAGGCAATGTACTGCACGCAACTAGTTAAGGGCTCGCTCAGCGTACGATAGTGACACATTTCATGAATAGCCACGAAAGTTTTCGCTAATGAATCACCGTACAAACATACGCGTACATGTTGAAGCTTGCTGAGTCGAAGCCTGACAAGTCGCCTACTGCCGTCGGCAGCCAGTGCACCGGAGGGGATCGCAATGCAGCAAAATAGTGCTGTCGCTGCTGGGCGTAGTGGCTCCGCAAACAAAAAGACGTATTTGGGGCGTCTTTCTGTCACACAACAGCAATAATCTATCTCGCACGCTTACCTCACTTTATTGCTGTGGGCCTGGTACGCCTCGGTCACGAACGTGCGGCTATTAGCGCAACACAGCGTTCTTGATCGGAAAATGGCGAGCGCGCAGTCCTCGAGAAAGGCAATAGAAACAAGCAAGATAATGAGTATTGCTGTGTGGATGAAAAACGACCCAAGTACTCCTATTTTCCTTAGTGGCTTGACCGGTGAGAAAAGGGGAGAAAATCAGAAAGAAAACTACAAATTGGGATTTTTCGAGCCAAAACTGATAGAGTGGGAACCTGGATGTATTGTGGCCACCTAGGCTGCTTTAATAATCGCTTAGATTTAAGTACACGGGTGTTGACTGTTACACAATAAAAGCAGTGGCCTTATGTTCACTAATAATCATGGCCTTTCTTTTTTTTTGTAATAAACTGCTACCTCATAAAAAAAAGATACGAAAGGTTTGTTCAACATGTGGGTTGAACCCAAGACATCACAGTCACAAGCTGAACTATTACAGTCTTATGCTTTCTGGCAAGTACAAATGGTGACATTTATTTAAATTTTTCTGTGCAATAACCGACTATAATAACAACTGTACTGTGTCCAACATAAATATATGATTGAGTTAAAAATTAATGGTGGAAAAAAATTGCACCTCTTCATTATTCAATATTCGATTCGTATTTAAAGCTATGTATTCGTATTCGATCCATATTCTAAAATTTTGATATTCGCACACCTCTAGGATTGGTGGCATCAGTCAACGTTTGAAAATTTCTCTGTAATCATGTATTCACTATATATGTTGTAAACACAGTCGTTGTTTTGAAAGACAAGTGGTCTTGAATGTCGGGCTCTAGGGTCTCTCAACCCTTGGTGGCAGGTTTGGCGTATCCCCTAGCCGCAACAATGAACAACAGCGTGCCAATTCGTCCAATCATCATTGCACCTTGGTGCCCAAATAAGCACCAGAGTGATTTGTCGAAAATGGCACAAAAGGGGTTATTCAATATGAAATTTTGGTGAAATGGAAAAGCTGCCCCCATACACGAGAACATTTTGTCACCAGGCTTCCCCGATCAGATCCTACAAGCCACTGCAGCGACTGGAATAGTGGATAAATCCGGAGTGTTTTGTACGAATAAAATGACCCCTGAGCCATGTTTACTCTACACTTTTTAATAGGCTTGTGCAATTATTCGAATGCTTTAAATATTCGAACAAATAGTACAGTATTTGAAATCACATCAATTTGAATTTGAATTATAAAAAGTTTCGTAGTATTTAAAATGAACGTATAAGTGTATATTAGTCCTCCAGTAGACCCAGTAAAGATTGTTTTATGGCAGCGAAGGGGTGCAAAGCCATGAACGAATCTATTTAGGTAACGCTTTTGTTACTATGCCTATTCAAATCGATCACCGGGGATAGATGCTTTTAATCGTTTGTTTTTAGAGGTTGAATAGGTTTCTTGTGCACATAACTCTTTCTAGTAGTTAGTCTAGCCACAAAACTTTCATAATCGGTTTGAATTTTGCCATTTCAGTAGCTTACTGATTTTTGACAGCCATTAGCACAAACCAATGAGCGTGTGTTGTTAGAAAAGGACTGTTGCCAGACCAACTTGAAAGAAATGCCAGCCGCTCATGATTATCCTTCAGTAACATCAAAGTTCTGTAATAAAAACAACCTTTGCAAGTTGAATATCAAATTATAGCGTCATTTCGCAATCTAAGACGGCTGAGCAGTAATAATTTCCTGAAGTCTGTGCCGGCTATTCACTAGAGAGCTCTTTTTAGCAGTCGGGAAACATTTATTCTACAAAATACTGCTTCTTCAGGTCCACCAACATGTGTCGAGGTGTGGCCTTAATGCAGCCATAACGTCTAATGTCACCTTAAAAATGGGTAGAAACAGAGCAGCAAGAGGTGAGACTGACCTGTGGGTGCTTGCGTCCCACTTCCCCGAGCAGCTCATGCACCAGTCCAGCCACCAAGGGTCGGGGTGTGTCCAGGCGGGCAATGAGCTGCGGTATCACCTGCAGCCAAGTCTCCATTGGGGCCTTGTTCACCCGTTCGGCCAGGGCCTCGTTCACCTCTGGCCAGTGGCCATAGTCAAACCACAGGGTCAGCAGCCTGGACACACGATTAGTTCAACATGCAAGTTGCTTGGCTTTTCAGCAGCTCTCTCTCATAGAAGGCTGCAATTTATTTGCACACAGTCTCAGTGTATTGTTTTTGTCAAGAAATTCAAAAGTTATCATAAATACCATTTTAGAGAAAATGCTGGGCGCTTGTTTGGGCTAGTTGCTACTCCACTGAACTGTTAAGTAGCGCAAAATTCAGGGACGAAGAAATCGACACACAAGCGCTAAACTTCCATCAAGAATTTACACATGAAAAACATATAGGTAACCGCGTGCCTGCGCAGCTTCACAACACCAAAGTGATAATCTTCGCAATCAAGGCCGTGTCTTCTTGTCTGTAGTCGTCGAAGCCATTCTCACAGAGTGCCATTCTGACCACCGCAAAACTACTGATTATCACCTTTAGATGAATGGCCTCTCCGACATTCTTTCGATGTACGTTGCCGCCAACAACATGAATTGGGATGCTATACTGGCCTTCATCCCCTTCGCCTACAACACCGCCCTTCAGAGCACAACCAGTTTTTCACCTTTCTTTTTGCTGTACGGAAGGCACCCGTCGCACACCATCAACACAATACTCCCGTACATGCCAGATTTATCTGAGTGCACCTATTTCTGAGACAGCCAGGCTTGCTTAAGAGTGTCGTGAGCTTGCCAAGGCTTTTACATCGCATGAACAAGAGCAGCAGAAGAATATTCGTAATGGCTCCGCCACTTCTGAGCCCATGTTCTTTTCAGGTGCGCTCGTATGTCTCTCGATCTCGACCTCTGTAGCTTGCCCCTCTTCCAAACTACTCCCGAAATACGAAGGCCCCTACCGTGTCATCGAGTGCACATATCTGGTCAACTATCTGGTCGAACCCATCGAACAATCTTCGGACATGCGCCGTCGCAGGCGCAACATTGTCAACGTTGAGCGCCTGAAGGCTTAATATGACCCGCTCATACTGACAATCTGTTAGGCCGCCAGGTGGCTCCCTCTTTGACTCCGAGGTAATTGTAGCGAAGCCTCCAAACTTTGAAATGGGTTGAACTCTCGAGTGCCTTCTAGTGGGTCAGCCCTAATGGACGCCGCTCGTGCTGTGAGTCCGTGCTTGGCCGTGAGTCTCGCCACAGTGTATACTCACTGTGTGCCACCTAATAAATGCCTTAACAGTACTAACAATTATGTGGCATGCACAGGTATCAGTAACTGAACAAACTGTGCCGTGTTCCGCGACTAGTGCTAACAGCCCTTTCTAAATTTTAAAACACTTTTCCGCAGGCTACTGATGCACTGCGGCGAAGGTAGCTTAAGTGGCATCTTGCACGGGTTTGACGAAGGCCAAGAAATTTTTAAACCACTACAGCCCCCACTTATCTCCTTTTTTTTTTTTTTTTTCACAATGGAGTTAGGTATGGGGCACAACTTCTTGGCTCGCTTGCCAAGTATATTTGACTAGAAAGTGCGGTGCCGTCACCACGCCCGTTGGTGCGGCGACGGCACCGGATATCTATCACATGCGCGTTAGTAATGGCAACTAATGTGGTCGCTGAAGACGCCAGCGTTCATAGCCCATCGAGTTCGCACGTAGTAACAACGGCATATGCTTAAAGCTTTAATTCCTTACATGCCACAGCCATGTTTACTGACTAGAAAAATCACATTTCCCACGAAGCGTTGCTGGCTATGGCAACGCATTTTTATCTTGACTTGCGTTGTCTCACCGATACGTACCCTCTGCGGTCAGCGAACCGATGAGCGCATAAAATTGTTACTTTATCTTGGCAATCGCCCTTCGCGAGTGTCCTGGCTTAATTAGTATACATCTTACACTGTGGTTAGTCAGTGCACCTGGATCTCTAGGTTGATTGATCACGCAAACTGCAGGTGGCCAATGTGGCGTTCATTTTTCAACGAAAATCAGCGCAGCTTAAAAAATTTTGAGGCAAGTCGGGCGCTTTGGCACAGCGTGGCACAATTTCGACAAATTTCATGCTTTTGGCACTGCTCGGCACAAAAATGGGGAATAGTATTTATTTGGCGTGATTGGCGCAGCTGTTGGACCCCTGCACAAGAAAACAACTGAAGAAAAACAACATGCTTTAGTCACAGTCATCTTTCTGTGTGTTGCTTTCATTGATGATCAACTGATAGCAACTAAGAGATGTTTGTCACCTTAGTATAAAGTGTTGCTATGCAACATTTTTAAAACTCTCGTTTATCTGACAGACTGTCAATTGCAACTGCACTGATTTGCACAGAACGCTGGACGCGACAAACACACCCACACAAAGAAAAGGAGTGGGAGCTCTATAAAGAGTATCGCCCTTACATGCTACACACAGTTTCCACAACACCATATCACTCCATTCACCAGCGGTATGCACCAACGCATGAATCGTACTGCCGTATTTAGTCATGCCACAAACGTTTTCAAGCAATGAGAGGTCAGTTCTGAACCACCATTGAACAACACACATGACAAGTGAAGCTAAACATTTTCTTGAGGAAGTCTCCTCGCAAACACATATGTGCAGCACTGTATCAGCCTTAGAAACGTAATCTGTCACTGCACCACATTAATCGCTTAAAAAGAAAGCCTACCGCTCGTAAAAAATTTTTTGATTTTGATGCAAATGAGAAGATCATTCATAAAATCGGCAGCAACGAGCATGCTTTTGTCCCCTTACAAAGAAATAATAATTTTGACTTGATGTAGAAAGTCGACAAAAAATAATCGCTAGGCATCACCGAACAGCGATGTGGTCAACCTAATAGCAGGACAAGAAACCCTCGCAGGTAGACATATTTTGCTTAAAATCAAGCATCTATAACCTGAAATTGTATTTTATGCAATTGAGGCAGATTTAGGCTGCACCAGAGACTAATTTTCGCTTTTTTTCTTATGCGGTCAAAGAGGTGCCTGGTGACGCTGCTGGTGCTGTGTTCGATTGCCTGCATGTCTGCCTGCTAACTGCGGAAAACATGAGCATGGCGTCTGCCACTGCTTATGAGAACAAGAAAAAAGTGTGTGCATGCCTTAAACAACCACTAAAGTATTTGCTTTATTAATAAACAAAACTGTGGTTTCAGTTTTCGATTTTCACCGCAGTACAATTGTCATCACCTTCACTGACCAGTGTTGAGAGCATGCATCTCACTGATGGAAGAAGACCAAATGCAGATAAAAAAATTTTATTTTCAAAATTTCTACACACTTTTCAGAGAAACCGCTGCAAGGTTATACACTTCGAAAGCTAGGCTTTTTATTGCGACACAAAACAGAAAAGCAGTGAAGGACGGTAGACAGTTTCTTCAACTATCAAGTGGGGTGCTCTGATTATTGCAATGATCACTATTTTGGTATGAAAATTTCTAATTTCACTCAGTCTAAATCCTCACAACCATTGCCATAAAATTCATTGTCAGGGTTGGCAGTGTCATCGCTGGGAGCAACGTCGCAGTCCCACAGAAAGCTGAGAATAAACTATATAGCATTGCCCGATGGCCTTCAGTCTCACCTGATCAGCAGAAAGCTGTTTTTGAGCCCATGCAGTGACTCATGACTCAATTCGGTGCCACATCAACTGACGGGAACTCTGGCTCCCATGCCTGGCCCGCGATTACCTTTCACGATATTATTGTGCAATTTATAACATTCCCGACGCATTGCATAAGCATGGTTAGAACAGTACGAGACCACTGTGACCTGTAAACAGTGAAACGCCTCCGGAAAGTGCCTCTGCAAGTGATCGACGTAAAATGTGGACTTTGGTGTCATCCTAAACAGCATGTGGCGGCACACTCAGCCAAGATCTTGCTAACGAATGAAACCACACCACCAACAGTTTGGGACATCAAAGCACTAAAAATATACATTGCACACTTGCTTGAAGAAAAAGAAGTGGAAATTTTAAGGGCTCCTTTTTTCTTTGTTAGAAATAATATTATTAAGAACTAACAGCAACGACTCACAAACTAGAAAGACTAATACAGGCAAAGCGCTGAGCATCAGCCCATGGGGAGCGTGTAAGCACCTCTGATTATCATAAACCCATGCCGACAAGACAACTCTAGGTAAGTAAAAATGATCTTGAAGGCCTCACCTAGATCTACTTTGAGCACCAAAATGAACTTCTAAAGTATGTCACACATATCCTTTTTGATTAGCAAATACAGCAGGGGACATGTTTTTGCTTGCGGAAACATGAAAGCATAATGGGTGTTGTGTGCCAAGTTTGGGATGCAATCATTACGAGCTAAAATCCACTAAAACAAATTTCTGCAATTTTAGTTGAGCTACATTCCTCAGAATTATTTTTATGTAAGAGGGTAAATTAGTTTGGTTTTGTTTATTTATTGAAGGCAAAAATTGGTTTAAGATCTCCTTGACGGACAGGAGTGAGCGATTTCCCAACTGGGTCACGCCACTCTGGCAGCAAAGCAGCTAGAAGCATTATACTCATAAACACTAAAAGCAGACGGCACATAAAAGTGTGTATTATTCTGTGCAGATTCCAGGACGAAATGGAACTGCAAGCAGAGTCCACAAAATATAAAGAGAGTCCTCATTAGAGTGGTAGCAACACAAACAAACACACAGTGAAAATCAAACGAACGGGTACAGGGCTGATCAAAAGTTCTCAGAACACGCTGCCACAAGAATACATGGAATAGTGGCCTAGCAACTTTTGACCAGCCCTGTACATCCTGGATAGCACATACTTATGCTCTATGGGATAAAGGATAAAGTGAGTTTGTTGCATCAAAGTGTAACACCAAATGTTCTACATGAGAAATAGTACTAAACAATCGTAGTACTAAATTTCTGAATAGTTTGGTCACAGTCATGGAATACTGAAACCTGCAAAGCACAGCTAGGCTGCCATGTAGCAGTGCATGGCATAATATTATACCATAAACAAAAGTGGTGTGCAAATAAATTCAGGTTTTGTAACAAATACATTTGGCCTAATCAACCCACCTGAGAGTATCCTGTAGAGTGCTTCCATGAGAGAGGGCAATCGACCGAAAGAACCCTTTCACAGCAGGTACCGTGTAGTCCTTGATGTGCTGGGCTGTCTATAAAAAAGAGCAGACACTGTGCTGCCACATGTGTGCAGAGCTGAGAAAACTAGGGCATTTCTCACACAGAGCCCATTCGTACAATCAAAAACCAGCTGGAGGAAATGCAGATAAAAACACGAAAAGCCTTATGTAGATGAGCGAGCCTGCACAAGCCAACGTATTTCGCTAACAGTGATGAGAAATCTTCCAACAGAGAATTTCATAGGCTACATCTTAATACGGCAACCGTTAAGCCTCTCCTGAACTTGTCTTTCTATTTCTCTAGCAGAAATTCTTGACACGACACTTGGTAGGGCTGTATGCCATCAGAAGGTGGGCCTGCATAGCTCGCAGAACTGTACTGTTTCTCTACGAAAATTAAACGCTCAGCACAAGCAAGCAGTGTAGTTGTCATCTCTGAAGGTGCCTGTGTGACTCACCAGGCCAGTTCTTGGGCAGTCACCAGCATAGCTTGCAGTTTCACCAGCCCCGACCTGCTGAAGTGGCTGCTGCTGCACAGGCTGTGCATTGTTGCTCTGCTGAGCTTGGTGCTTGAAGAACAAGACGGCCTCAAAGTTCATGTAAGCCCACGCATGCCAAGCCTGCGGAAGAAGAAAGTATTCACATGTGCACTGCTTATTTAGGCTAAATCCCAACCGTGCTACTGAACACCTGCAGACCACTTGGATTCCTCCAGAAACAGACATCTTCAATTTTTGGCTAAGTGGGAAGAAGCCTGCAGTGGCTGGGCCAACAATAATAGCACACAGTAGTGGTAACAGGGCAGCCGCTATCCGTGTGGTGGAACTTTCCTGACTGTGAATGACGAGCCAGACGGTGAGAAGACAGCCATTTTTCTGATTTATTGCGCAGTCGCAACGTATTCTTTGCTGCAAAGTTTTGAAATTTCATCAAGTTCCATTTCTAGTTAACGAGAGCCATAATGACAATCAGTGTACAGTCACCTGAAGTGTCGGAATGTCGCACACACATTTGCATATTCAGCAGCACTTGTGCAGGCATTATACAACTTGGCATTGGTGCAACAGCCAAATGTTAAGATGGGCTGGTCCTGACAGCTCCATTCTGCAATGCACTTGGAATGTCCACACTGCTATGAAAGCACAATGCTATTGAACAGACACAATGTGAAAAAATATCCACTATGAATTAGCAACACGTGGCCCAAAACTTGGTGCGTTGGCCTGGCCGTCTTGTGAACCCCAAGGCCGTCGCTCCATAGCCTATGCTATCTCAGAGCCTCATCAGCTAGTTTTGGACAGCTGCAACAAGAGAAGTGAATGCAGCAGTGATTGCTCAGTGCTACACACAAGCAAATGCTCATCATCCCATTTATTCCTCATCACTTTGCTGCTGGCTGGGTATTACATAACATTGTTGTTCCACAACACAATTAAACGTGACTTCTGGGATTGCTACAGCACTACCTAGAAAGCCATACTTTGATAAGACCAGGGGTGAAACAGAGTACAAAGGTTTGCGAGCGGTCCTGGGAGAAGGCAAAAGTGGCCTTTGTAGCCAGCTTGGAACATCAAGAAAGACGTTTTTGTAGCAAGCTTGGAGCAGATAGAAAGGCCTTTCTGAGCAAGTTCCGAGCAGTCAGAGGAAATGTTTAGAGCAGATGTAGCCTCGTTACACACACTTGTAAAGCAACATTTGTTCATAGTACATTTTTCAAACACCAAACTAAAATATCCGATAGCCTTATTATTGGGATGGGAATCACCCTCGATGGGTTTTGCCATTGCCATTGCCCTCATTTCTCGAATAAAGTGTAAATTCATAAAGTTCCCTCTCCATGCATTGTACGTTCTACTTGTGTGTGAGAGCACGTGAGCGGGGGCGATGAAGGTGGCTGATGCAGAGATTAAACAAGCCGGCCCTTCTCTGTCACTCGGAGAGCGTATGCAATAACAGCACCCTGCTTGAAAGGCCCTGCCGTGGGAGCAAAAAGGAAATACACCGCTTGGCTGAACGAGCATGGAAAGACACAAGTGGGGTGGGGTGGAGGGAGGGGGTATTGCTCGAGCAGCAACAGTGACATTTGCTTCTAAGAGCGCAATCACTGGCATGCGCGCTAGCTTGGCAAGCATTGGCACTCTCATCATGAAGAGACTGCATGAAAAGTCTTCCTCACCGTGCAGTGGCAGTGCTCTCTTGCACCAGCATTTTGTAGAGTACCGTAATATTGGATCCAAAATTATTTACATTCATTGCTTCACTATTGTAATTAAACAATGACTTTTTTTTGCTATGTACAGCAGCCCATTTGTTATACCTGAACATAAAAACGTGAACTGCTGAGTCAATAAGCATCGCATAACGAAGCACTGTGGCAAAATGAATGGGAATACGCACGCAATCTTGACGAGTGTTCTTGTGCACCCGTCTTTACTAGGTTGTTCCAGGAGTCGGACGCCACCCTCGCTTCTTTTAAGCATAGTGCCATCAAGTTATATAAAAAGAAAATCACAGTTCCACAACAATGGCAAAGCAATGAATGCAATAGCAACAAATTATAATGTTATACGAAGTAAGGCTGGCAGCTAACTTTTTTTTGGATCTGATACAGTGCAGACCACTTACAACGTAACCGCTTTTTGTGCGGGACCGGTTATAACGTGGGTTTTTTTTGACCACCGATATGTCGCCCATAGAACTCAATGTATAGGCCGACCGTTTATTGCGTAGGCACGCGAAGGAGGATACCGGTTATAGCGCGGAGTTTTTAGGTGCGCGACCATAAAATCGGAGAACGGAGCACGGTCGGCACGGTTTCCCGGCGGCGTTCCCGGCGCGCCGGTACGTTGGGAGTGTGAGCGGGAGGGTGCACGTGGAGACCACCGCGAAAAGTCACAAATTGCGGAGGAGAAGAGAGGGTACAGTAGGGAGGGAGTCGGGGAGACCTTAGAAGGAGGGAGCGTGTTTTCGTCACCGTGGCGACCGTGGCAGCGTCCAATCCGGGTGCGCGCTGCACAGAGTGGGAGAGAGAAGCGGTAGCAAGCTTTTTTTTTTTTTCTCAACCCCCTTCTTTTGCCTCTTTAGATTTGCTGTGTGCGCTTCGCCGTGTCGTTGCCGTCTGAGAGCCCAGAGCACGTGTGTTGCATAGCTCCTGCCGCCATGGCGCCGGCGGCGTCTTCAAGCGGTGTGAAAAAACGCCGTGCCTTATCGCTGGAGATTAAGGAATGCGTCATAAGGGAAATTGAGAGTGGCCTGAAGAAGGCGTCGGTGGCGGCGAAATACGGCGTTTCTGACACGACCGTGTCGACCATCTACAAAAACAAGGACAAACTGCAGCAGCAACTGCAGCAAGATTCGTCTTCTCTGTCACGGAAGACAATATGTACGTCAAAATACGAAGACGTGGACGCAGCGCTGTTCAGGTGGTTCCGCGAAGTTAGGGCTCAGAGCATCCCAGTAAGTGGCCCCATGCTCCAACAAAAGGCCAAGTGTCTCGGAGCTCTTTTAGGCCACAATGACTTCAATCCACTCAACGGGTGGATTCAGCATTTCAAAGATCGCCATGGCATCAGCTGCAAAGTGGTGTGCGGAGAAAGCGGCGCTGTCGACGACGAGTCTATCGAAGTCTGGCTTCGCTTGAACTTGGAGAGTATGCTGTCGACCTATACTGACAGAGACATTTATAATGCCAATGAAGCTGGTTTATTTTATAACCTTTTGCCCCAACTGCACGCTTGCGCTGAAAGGCGAAGCCTGCTCCGGCCGCAGGTCTCAAAGGAGCGCATAACTGTATTGTTTTGCGCCAATTTGGACGGGAGCGACAAGCGCCGCCTCTTTGTCATAGGTAAATCGGCAAGGCCACGTTGCTTTAAAAAGCGAGAGTGCCTGCCAGTGACCTACAAAGCCAATAAAAAGGCGTGGATGACACAGGATTTGTTCACCAGCTGGCTTTGCAAGTTTGATGAGGATATAGCTGGCTTTGCAAGTTTGATGAGGATATGGTGGCAGAGAAGCGGCGGGTCGTGCTTATCCTCGACAACTGCACGGCCCACAACGTCAAGCCGAAGTTGACCGCAGTCAACCTAAAGTTTTTGCCTGCCAACACAACAGCAAAAAGTCAACCTCTCGACCAGGGTGTCATCGCAACCATAAAGGCGCTGTACAAAAAGCGCATTTGCGAGAAAGTTTTGCTGAGCATGCACCAGCAGCAGCCTCTTAAAGTGAACTTAAGAGGCGCAATCGACATGGTGGTCGCTTCATGGTGGCAGGTAAAGGCCGATACCATAAGCAAGTGTTTCAAGAGGGCAGGCTTCGTGCGCAATGCAGAGGCTCTGGAAGACGATGAGCAGAGCGACACGCCGCTCGTCGGTGAGACCCTCAACACTGACGACGTGTGGTCCTGCCTCGTTGACAGCAACTTTGTAACCGCCACCGACACTTTTCCAAGAATTTGTTGATGCCGGGGAGTCGGAGCTTTCTGTCTGCGAGGAAGTGAGCACAGATGACGTGATCGTCGCAGCGGTGCGCGGTAGTGCGGAGGTTGCAACGGACGATAGGTCGGACGGCAAAGACGATGTCGACCCGACGCCAGAACCAGATTTCCCGTGCAAAGACGCATTGGAATACCTCGCTAAAGTGAAAACGTACTGCGTGAAAAACAGTTTGAGCGAGAAATCGTTCAGTGCTTAAGCTTTGTGGAGGACGAAATTGTTCGCAGCGCTGTTCGCAAGCATCGCCAGACGAAAATAACGGCGTTCTTCCGCTGATGCCGGACTTGAGAACTTTGTTTTCGTGTGGTGTTGTGATTGTGTTGAATGTGTCTGCGAGTGAAAAGTGTAGTAAATTGCTTTTGAAAGGTGGATTGCCCTTTTGACACAGGCAAAGGCCGAAAAAAGCATGCTTTGGTTATAACGCGGTACCGCTTATAGCGCGGATTTTTAAAACTCCCGTGACTTACGTTATAAGCGTCTACACTGTATCTCATAACTCTACAAAACACCGATATAACAAAATAGAGCTGAGCTAGGGAGAGGTGCTCTTTCCACAAGTTCATAGTCAATTGCGCTGATGCCTGCGGAGATAGTACACGCCAGTGATCGTGATCAGACCCTCAAAACCAAAGTTCAGAGCTGCTGCTTGAGTGATCACAGCTTTGATGAAACTGAAACTATAACAGTCTTCAGCCACGTTTTCAGGCACGGGGCTTGATGGCTGTCGCACCTTGCGGCTGAATTCAAGTGCTGCGGTGCAGGCGCCTGCTAATAGACGAGTTTCGCGCAACAAGGACTGCTTGGCGCAGGGTAGTGCAGATAAACAAGTTTGACACACAATGGCATAGCTTTTCCACTCCTGTAAGACCTAGCTGCTGCAGTCTTGGAGGCCATGCCCCGACCTCACCTAGCTATGCCGGTCTATGCGGTATGTTGCAGTGAAAGAGGTGAGGGCTGGGACTGCGCTAGTGTGGAAAAATGCGATGGTGTGAGTAAATAGTGTGCTGCTGCTTGCTGTATACAGCAAAGTGTGACAACGTGAGGCAAGAGAGTTCAGAAGGGGAAGTTTTGAATTACTGCGTCGGACGACTCATGAACACCATGACAGGTGGTGTGCTCGACACAAATATGACGGGATATTTTTTTCTCTTTAGTGACAACTTTGGCTTTCTATACGTGTACTCAAATCTGAGCACACGAGCCTACAACATTTCCGCCTCTATTAGAAATGCAGCCGCCGCAGACGGGATTCGATCCCGCGACCTACGGGTCAGCAGCCGAGTACCTTAGCCACTAGACCACCGCAGCAGGGCAGAATTTTATTCTTGCTTCTGACAATGTGAGCAACATTGCCATTACAACTAGTTACAATGCATGCATCACAGTTCAGTGCACAATACGGTGAAGCAGGATTCCCACGCAATAGACGAGGCAGTATAGTTCTTTGACTTTTTCTGCGTGCTGGCTTTATGGGCTGTCAAACCACGCTGTCACAGAGGAAGCAGAAACTTTACTTTTGCACTTTGAAACTACTATCCACTTTCCAGATGCCCTGGTTCGAAAATATTATTACAGTTTCAAGCACTTTGCAAGAAAAACTAATCGAATGTTTATTTTTGCGGTTGATACTATGCATAAGTCTTTCTGTGATATTTGGGCTGCATGTGGTGTCCGAAAGCAAATGCCTGCGGCCATGTTGCTTTGTTGAGAGGTCTCCACAATGAACAGTGAAGGAATAAAATTTATCTTTAGGGACATTAAGAGAGACTGCTCCAGTGTGCCACATCGTTGGTGACAGCTGAATGAATTCCTCTCTCCTGCTCTGTGTGCCAAGCAGGCAGCACTGAACGTCTCATTGTTGCCGCACACTTTAAAGCACATGCAGGCATCGTTACGAAGCAGTTTCAGAATAATGACGGACTTTGTAGCAAAGTGACCCAAATGGCACCGCACTTCTACCCCAATAGAATGAAAATATTAAGTTGCTAGAACGTTTCCTGCAAGCAAGTACTTAAAACTCTATTATACGGTATGTTAAGCAAAAAAGATGTGCATCAATGAATGAATCGTGCACCCAATGAAAGACATGGCAACAAACAATTACCGTAATTACTCGAATCTAACGCGCACCTTTTTTCCGGTTAAGCGAGTTCATAAATCACATGCGCGTTAGAATCGAGTACGAACAAAAAAATTACGGTCAATCTATTGCCATCGGCAAATCCGAAATGGCCGCCCCCTACGTGTGGCGGCATGGCGCGTCGACCATTTCTGCCAATGTGTTTCCCATGTGCGGCACTTCGTACGTGAGCTGAGGAGTTCGTCATCTAGTAGTGCATTAGCATCGACGGTGTGGAAGGGCCGACTCCAAAAACTCGAGTGCACCACGATGCCGCTTTTCAAAGAAAAGTCGTCACTTGTGCAGAAACGGACGGTAATCGGGCCGCATCGCGGTTGTTCGGTGTTCCCGAAACGTGCGTGCGGGACCGGCGGAAACAAAAGCAGAAGGTTGTCGACAGCAAAGCTTCACGCAAAGGCTTCAGTGGACCACAGCAGGGTCGGTTTCCGCAAATTAAAGAGCTGCTTGGCGAGTATGTGCTTGAGCAGCGAGCGGCACAGCGGCCCGTGACGACAGAACTGCTCCAAGTGCGGGCTACGCAATTAGTCTTAGAAAACGGTCTAATGCGGAGCCAGTTTAAAGCGAGCAGGTGCTGGCTAACTAACTTTATGAAGAGGAAAGGCTTTTCCCTCCGAAGGGGAACATGCATATGCGAAAAGTTTTGCGGAGGAGTACGATGAAAAGCTTCACAGTTTTCAGAGGTTCGTCCTAAACTTGCGGCGCAAAAACGGCTGCCTGCTTGGGCAAATCGGGAATGCCGATCAGACGCCTCTTTACTTCGACATGCCTGGCACCACAACCGTCGAGAAGAAGGGGGCGAAGCAAGTTCGCGTGCTGACATCGGTCCACGGTAAAACTACAGTGACGGCAATGGTCTGTTACACGTCAGATGGGCACAAGCTTCGCCCGAACCTCATATTTAAATAGAAGACGCTCCCGAAAGGAGTAGTTTTTTCGAGTGGTGTGATGTTGCGGGCCAGCGAGAAAAATGGGTGCGCGTTGCAATCGGTGTCTTACGTTTTTTTTTTTTTTTTTCGCGGCGGAAATCGGGTGCGCGTTACAATCGAGGGCGCGTTAGTATCGAGTAAATACGGTAGGTAGAAAGGTTATCAAAGCGTTGCAATACATTGTGCATCCACATGCAGAAAGTGAAGCGCAAGTCTTGTAGTGCTCACCTTGTACCAGTCATTGTCATGTTCAGTGGCCAACTGGTAGTAGCGCAAGATCATGGGGATTGAGGTCTCATTGATGCCCTGCATACATTCCTCCCACTGTCCAAGCTTCAGGTAACACCTGAGAAAAGACAAAATTACTTTTCACTATACGCTGTAGCAGTGGGCAATGTTTTTAGGCACCAAAAAAAGAGCGAGTAACAAGACAACCACAATGCAAAATTTTTTATATAAACAATATTCTGTTCATTTCTACAAGGTAGCAGTTCCAATTTCTCAGGTTAATGACCCTTCTGTATTTGAGAGCAGTGTCATAGGTTCTAAAACCAAAATAGCAGAAATCTTACAGCAGTACATATTTCGAAGCAACTTAGTTGCTAGATATTTTCGTGCACGTTTGTTGTTTCAATTTTGCTGTACTTGACTTGTGCCCGCAAATCCTGTCAGCAATGATCAGCGCCGACCGCGCCTCAGTGTTCGAGAAGCTTTACGATTGTAGTAGATAATTTTTTTTAGATTTCACCCAAGACACAAACATTTTAGCTTATTCCAGAGCTCGCGCGACCACCAGTGATAAGGCTGGAAAGTTTGATGCATGATGTATATATAGAAGACGAAGCATCCCAACGATAATCAGTGTTATTGACATCCAATGCTCTGTTCACTGATTTCAGTGTAAAGCACGCACTGCTTGCTGTAGTTTAACTTTCCATTTCCCCAGCCAGATGTTCAGCCAAATAAAGAGTTTCATTTTAAACACGCCGTCTTTGCCTTCGTTGACATGACAACCCCGAGACAATACACAGCTGTGAGTGCTATTGAGCAACTGAAAAGCCCCTACACTTTGTGGGACACTTTCATTAATGATGTGGTAAAAAAAAGAGATCAGGGCTATTTAGGCATCTGATATATCGGCAGTACAGCAAACAATATTGAACAACCCTGCTAGATAACAGCCACAATGTTCCCAGGAGCTTTGTTAACCTGCTGCAAACTCCAGTACAAGCTAACAGGGGGTGGAAGAGGGCTTCATGAAGCAGCTCAGGGGGCAGAAACGATGTGGTTTCAGAGCAGCTTTGAAACAGTAAAAGGGGAGTTTCAAAGCAGATCTCTAGAGTCACACATCAATAAATTGATGTTTTTCTTACTGGTAAACAAAAAAAAATTACAGAGGTTTTGATTGATTGATATGTGGGGTTTAACGTCCCAAAACCACTATATGATTATGAGAGACACCGTAGTGGAGGGCTCCGGAAATTTAGACCACCTGGGGTTCTTTAACGTGCACCCAAATCTGAGCACACAGGCCTCCAACATTTCCGCCTCTATCGGAAATGCAGCCGCCGCAGCCGGGATTCGAACCCGCGCCCTGCGGGTCAGCAGCCGAGTACCTTAGCCACTAGACCACCACGGCGGGGCATTACAGAGGTTTTTACTAGACATTCAATACTGATGAAGTGATCAGACTTACCCGCAATACTATATACAATTGAACCTGAATATAACAAGATTATTCCACCCGAAATTTGTCATGGACAGTTTTTCATTAGATACAATTTCAGCACGAAAATTCGAAAAAGAAATGCACCAATTAAACAAGAAAACTGAAGCCAAAGCTCACCCAAAACATTTATTTAGCAGTCAAAAACTGCAGTTTTACTGTGACAACATTTATACGGACACTCTCAATGAGGTTTTGCCGTCATGCTCTCTCATCATCATCATCAGCCTAACTATGCTCATTGCAAGGCAAAGACCACTCCCATGTTCTACTAATCAACCTGGTCCTGTGCTTTCTGCTGCCACATCATGCTTGCGAACTCCTTAATCTAATCCGCCTACCTGACTTTTTGTCTCCTGCTCACATATTTGTCTTCTCTTCGAATCCAGTCAGTAACCCTTAATCAGTCAGCACACTCCAAGTTGGTGAAGAGGGGAATAGTGAAGACTTGCTTGCTCAGCTCCCTACGCAAGTCATGTCCTGAGTGCGTGAGCGAAAGTTTCTATGAACAAATTGACTGCCTACGGTACACCGGTTACCCTACACATGTGCTTGTCAGTGTTTCCAAGGGCCTCCTCAACTTGAACTTGCCAAAAAACACTCCCGCCAGCTTGCTTCTAGCTGATACACGAGAGAAGTTTCAGTCAATCCGTATATCCATGAGTTATCACACAGACTAAAAAAAATTGGACAACCAGCGAACGTTAAAAGTATTGTTTTAAGCTGCCATGATATTGCGGAGATTGTGCAGACGAGCCTCATTGGAGAAGCATGGGTTCCAAAGGAAGCACAAAAACAGGTTTATAGAATGTAATAATGCAGTAGTGTATAAGCTTCAGTTAGCATGTCGAAAAAATTAAGTGGGCCAAAGTGGACAGTGCGTCAATAAGCATTTAAAGGAACACCAATACAATGTGAACCAAAAAAGGGGTGGGTTCCTCGATGCTCACTGTAGCACTGCAGTAATTCATGTACCACAAGTGACGATGTTCGTAGCTCGTGCAGGCCCATTTTTCGGAAATGTTCAATTATCAGAACGAGCAGATGCCAGCTAACCCGTGAAATTGTCGAGGCTGAATTCACTGATAGGCTGGCAGATAAGTGTATCTCAAATCATTGCTAACCCTTTCCTTTAAGGAGTGAGCCTATCTATGCAAAGATAGCTGAAAATTACAGACAAAATGCTTGTAATGACGATGGTTGATAAGATAGAGACTAGCGTCTTCCACTTCATTTCAAAAATGAAGAAGCAGGCCAAGATGAGCGTTTTTCTTTCATGCAAATAAATCATTCTATTGCGGTGTGTGTGTGGAATTAGTTGTGCTTCTTAAATGCGCCTATTCTAGGTGATGGTTCGCTAGAAGTAAGCTCTTGGGGCCTGTATTTTTATATATAGAATTTTTCTTATATCGAACTAATTCGCGACTCCCTTCGAGTTCGATCTATCCGTATTCAACTGTATGAAGGACACCAACCCGAATGCTACTCCCTCTTCCCGTCGCAGTGTTTTTTTCCACAAAATCCACCAGAACAATTTTCAGTTGTAATATACCGTATTTATTCAAATCTAGGCCGATAATTTTTTTTTCTAATTTCTTTGCATCACACTCCAGAGTCGGCTTAGATTCAAGAATTTTGAAGAATGCACCATTTTTAATGAAGAAAAGTGGTGCACAAGTAGCGTCACCTAGACAGTATCATAGCCGTTAGTAGCCAAGCCAACAACTGGCTGCCATTTTGATTTTTGTGGTGAATGTTGAGGCGAGCCGTTTGTAATTTCGAGTCATGCTTTGAGAGGTCTGTGTCTGGTGGAGCTCAATGGCATCAAACAAGCGGTGCTGCTCATAAAAGGAAAGTTATCCTAGCCGCAGAGTGATTATCCAACGTTCGAGCAGGGCAGGACTTGAGAGCGGATGAAAAAAAAATGTGCGCCACTGGAAAGCTGCAACGTGGGACAACCCTGAAATTTTGATTGTGCGCTCTGTTAAGAAGTGTGGCATAACCAATGCCCTTGATGGCACCAAGAAATGCGCACTGTTTGAAAACAGCGACAAAGAAGTCAGCAACGACGACTTGGAATGAGCGCAGCATGAACTAGAAACAGCGCGAAAAAAATAATAATAAAACTACGTCAAAGAAATGCACACAACAGGACTAGAGGCTGTACGTTTCTTGAGTTATTTGCATCAGGAACTATCCGCTAAGTTTCATACTCATGTTTAATAAATGTTTTCTCTTTGTGAACGCTGTCTTCACTGTTTCGTTTGGCCTACATTCAAGTTAATTTTTTTTTTCTTTCTGGGCTTCGGACTTTAGGGGGTCAGCTTAGATTCTAGGTCGACGTAGATTCGAGTAATGCAGTGGTGCTGGAATAAAACACCTTGATCTGCAAAACAAAAAGCCCACATCACCTGGCTAGGAGCTTCTGGTGTTCACTGCGCTGTGCATTGTCATTGGGGACAGGTAGGCACAGGTGGTTCAAGGTGCTGTTGGCTGGAAGCTCTGTTTGGACAAAGTGGTGCAGCTGCCTGAGAGCATTCTCCTGCAGGAAGAGAAAGCATCCAAGGTTGTTGCATCTTTTTGCATGGTTGACATAAAGAACATTCTTTGTGTGCTGATTGGCACCAGAATAAATGACGATTGCTGGAATAGCGCCAAATTTCAAAGTTAACCCACCAGAAAAAAAATGAAGAGGGCATGAGCTTGTTCAAATACCTTCTGGCTCTCGTTTGTGGCATGGCACATTACAGCGACAACTCACCAACACAAGAAACACAAAGGCAACGTAATCAGACTGTGAGAAGAATGGCATGAAAGCGCCACCAATAATGAGCCCACAGCTATGCCATAGCTATGGGCAATAGACACAGTTCTCGAAGGCCTTAATTTTTCCAACTAATTATGTCGTGTCATCTTTAAAGTGACAACACAGACCTCGAAGGCCATGTTTTTGCACACGGGAACCTGAAAACCATCATGGGTGTCGTGCACCAAGTTCAGGGTGCAATCATTATGCAGGAAAGGATTACGCGTCTCCCATTTGTTGTCAAATTTTGACAACAAATGGGAGACGCAGGCGCTTAGAGGTGAGGCTGCTAAGCAGAATTATAATGGGTTCACAAGATGCAGAATGTGGGAAGGGGGATGGTTTCCATAACACCACGATGGAAGTGGAATTCCAGAGGCTTGCGTATTGAGCAATGTCAGTTCTTAAAGGGGCCCTCAAACACTTTTACAGCGAAAGCTGTTATGAGATCACAACTCGAGTTACGCGCAGTTGTCCGCCGCCGCGGCTGCCGGTGTCCTTAACCACATCATGCGAAATGAGAAAAAAAACCTTGCACCAATGACACAGTGAGGCTTGAACTCGGGTCCGCTGGGTGCCAGCCCATCATTCTACCACTGAGTTACACCGGTGCTCCAAACTTGTTGTCAAACATGCCTTACGCAGGCTTGACCTAGCACCAATGACACAGTGGGGCTCGAACCTGGGTCTGCTGGGTGCCAGGCTAGTATTCTAACACTCACCTACACTGGCGCTTGTGAAATGTTGTCAAACTTGCCTTAAGCAGCCTTGATGTCGGGAAAGCAATCGCGTTAATACGACTTATAAAGCGTTTTAAAACAGCAGAAGAACAGCCAGTCGTCGCACAATGCAAATAACATAACGAGTGGGCTGTCCAATGCTCCAACACATCACAAAAGCTTGTTATTGTTCTCCTATTAACTGTGGTGCATACCCACCTCAGCCATATTTCCTTATCGTTGTCATCCACTGCATGAACAATTGGCAAAAAATTCCTTGCAAGTGTTTAGTGGACATCACACTTCTCAGAAGAATGACGAAAAATAGCATAGCGAATGTCAACCTACTGCCAAATAAATTTATTAATAACGGTTTAGTGGGTATCAAGCAAGCGTGCTTGCGGTAGTTACCCTATGAGTATTTCAAAAAAGCTCCGAATGGCCACTTTTCGGCTTTCGCTGTGATTGTGCTGTGCCTTCCGCGCAGGCCTGGTGTTTTTTTCAAGTAACCTTAGTATGAATTCACTGAAGGAGCTCATTGTCACGATATCAACGGTGCAAAAATGTTAAGAATTCGTCCAGTATGAGCAGAGTTACAAAGATTCGTTGCACGCTGCAATCGCATTCTCTCTTCTCTCGTCCCGATGAAAACACTGGAAGCTAAGCAGTGGGGATGGCATAGGCAAAAAAAATACGTGACGCACATCATGTGACCTTGAGCACTTTTTAAATTTTTTTTCTTCGAATACGCGAATTTTTCAAAGTGACCGCGCGTGCACGCGTGGACATGTCCCGGCCTCCCGCAGCGATCCCTGTAACGACTGAGCACGCCATGTTCAAATGTACCAATGCCTGATAGAAAGCCCTCTACGAGTGATTTTTCAGCTTCCTTTGTCATTTTTCGAGAAAAAAAAAAGCAATTTTTAGATGACTTTTATAATTTATTTTGAACTGCAGGCCGCATGCTGCGCTATATTATTTGGTGCGCGTATTCTCGGGAGCCTCTATTACCGATCAGCAGCACTTTCTGACCATGCTCAAGAAGTGTTGCAGGGCCCCTTTAAAGAACCCCAGATGGTTAAAATTATGCAAAGCCCATCCCTATGGCATCTAACATGGCTGGAGCTGATTTGAGACATGCGACCCCAAAACCAACCAACCTACTTTTGCAATGATGGATCTAACTTAGGAGTGCACAAAAGATTGTTGCTTTATGATTTTTTAGTGTTTACCAAGTGCATCATGAGTCCCAATAACACTAGCTCAGAGGGGCTTAGTACATGTGCATACTAATATCACTATTTTTCTTTGGGCATTTTAATGGTGTGTGCCAGTTGTGCTATTGGTTTCAATGTTGTGGTGTGGTGATTCTGACTGAGAATTCGTGTTTGCTAGTTCTTTCCAAAAAATGGCGACATGTCACAGACAATACCGTGCCTACTAGAAGCAAAAAGCCATTTCGAAGGTAGTACTTGGAAAATGCTAAACTGCAACACAGCTTGACATTGACAAATCCACCATTCGTAGCTGGTGAAACCAGTGGGAACGATCCTTCAACTGCGACCAAAGGTTATACCGTCTGGGATGTGGATAATGACAAGGATATTTTCACTGAACACTTGATCTTTGAAAAAGATGAATGAAGTGAACTTTCTGCTGGAAAACCATACTCATCTCCCAAGTGCCTTACAGTTGCAATTTTTTTTCTTAACGAACTGAAAGGCTGTGCTTCAGATTACAATCGTGGTCGCATACAAATAGAGTAAGTATGATGTACAGAACAGGAAAGCTTACCTTCTGATTGCTCTGCCACATATGTTTAATATAGGCAAACGTTACAGCAGGGTAAGCAGTCGGCAGAGGCTGATTTGGCACTAGAGAAGGGTCTGTCCCCAAAAGTGTGACCAGCGTTCGGTGGGACTGAGCCTGCAATAGAAGAACAGCAAACGAGTTGTGCTGCTATTAGGTTGTCTCACACCCTGAAATTTGTCTTGAGCCGGCTTTAACAGGTCGCCAGCTGAAAAGCTTGTCAGCACTGCCACCTTTCAGGACCACTCCTTAGGTAAAGAGCCACTCGGTGAACAATGAAAAATTAATGCAAGATGTATCGAACTTCATTCAGCGTACTGATACAAAAACTCACTCGAAGTGTCATTGGTTCTTCCTTGTGTTCAAAATTAGCAAGACTAAGAACTTCTTGTCGAAAAATTTAAATCTCGGCAATAGGTGGCTTATTTGATCGACATATAATTTTAGGCAAAATACCACTATCTTCTGTGAACATTGATGGCGAATACTCACTAAAACTCACTGAATACTCACTGAAAGCGGTAGGATGCCCCCTAGACTGCATCATTGAGCAAACCTTTGACTATGGGTTAAAATAGCTCCAAAATTTATTCGGTGCCTCTTACGATTGTCGGGAATGTGATACCAAAAAAACGTTTGTTCGAATTCTGTCAAAGTACTTTAAAATCCTTTCTGGGACTTTGACTCGCAGGGCTAAAACTATTTTTATAATTCTTCTGTTGTTTTAATTGTATGTGTAAGTGTATTATATCTGTAGTCATCCAAGGCCTTCTACTACTATTTTTCTTAATATGCTTACATATACACAGTTGTACACAAGATATGAACAAATTGGAAAATTATGCCCAGAGATAATCTGGGCTGTTGTTAAGCACACAAAATTACCTCTCATGGGAGAAAGACTTAACAGCACTGAATAAGTAACCTATACATACAATACAAATATACAAAACAACTGATCAACACTACATGCCAAGCAGTGCAAGCTTGCTGGGAAACATGTACAGGGTGTTTGCACACACACCCTTCATTTGGAGGATGCAATCAAGAACTGCCTCACAACACATTATTGTCATCAAGTCCACCTCTATATTTGTGAAGTTTCGTCAAACTCCTAACAATACGGGAAAAAAGAGGGGCAGGACGAATACGACATAAACAAGTGCATTTCTCTTACCAGCCGTTCATTCCGCCTGCAGAGACTGCTGAACTTCAGCCAGCTGCGCATGTCATCCTTGGGCTTCACAACTAATGAATGAAGCTGCAATATCCTCTGCCAGTCCTCGACAATTCTCTGACAACCCTGGGAGGGTCAAGGGAGGTCAATTTCAGAGAAAACGTCAGTGGCTCCACACCATCAGTCACTAGCAAAATGGTGAAACTTTCTACAATTTCTACACGTGCAGCTGATTTCATCTATCTAATGCTATGCAACTGTTTCTGCTGAAAAGCTGGCTGCCTTTCAGAAACTCAATGCTATGAACATGGCAAGACGTGCCGGCAAGCCACACGAAAATGAAAATTTCAGTGCCCTTTTTCCAAGAAGCACCACACATACCCCCCCCCCCCCCCAGTGAAGAAAAATGAATGTTAGGTTTCACGTCTTGCTTCATTTTGTTTATTTACTTATTTGGCATTTAAAAACTGCTCTTATACCTCACCTCAGTTTTGTACTAGTGAAGTCGCAAGTAAATTGGCTTGCAAATAATCATAACATCACTCTCACTGGATTGCCAAAAATGCACATCAACTGCAGTATACATTTATGCTGCGAGTAATAAAGGAGATATTGACTGGCAGCTGCTTAGTATGTATGCCTTTTTATAAACAATAGATGCAAACACAACTAAACTGTATGCAATGAACGCATTCAAGCATTGAGAACAAAAGAATACTGCAATCAGAGGTGCAAGTGTGGGATTCTGTCTTCTGGAGTAGCTTTCGGGCATCAAGAGGTGTGTTATAGAGATATGCAAGCTAGTTTGGGAGCAGATTTCCAGGGTAAAACATAATTGCTGATGTCATTCTTTAACTTTTGGTAAAAAAATTCTAATGGGTTTCTGCATATTCAATACTAATATACTAATGAATGATATATATATATATATATATATATATATATATATATTGTGTCAAAACACTGAGAAACGGGCCCTTAGGTATACACTTCTTTCCCTTATTCATTAACGAGGGTCTCGTACTGGCAGAATTGGTGCCGCTAGGTAGTATACGAGGGAGTATTGGTCAGCTGCCTGCTTGTAATAAGTTCACTTGCTACGTGACGCCATATAGGCTCATAAGAAAGTGTGTCACACTCGCCGCCATGGCTACAGGTGGCGCTGACTGACACTCCCACGTTTAAATTCCAATATAAACCCAATAAAATGGCTGAAGGGTGTGGGGGGTGCTGACACCCCCTGTAAAGTTGTCTGCGCTGCGTGGCGCACGTGTCTCGCTCCAAGGCTTTATTTCGGTGGTGACCACCGCCGGGCGATAGATGGCGTTGTGTTCGCTTTGAGTACCACTGTTGGTAGAGTGGTAGCAGAGGTGGCCCCTGGCGGAAGGCAGGCCTTGGTGGTGCGCGAGAGTTGAGCGAGCCTCTTCTGCGCGTGGCGGCTGCCGCGAACGGTTGTCTGTAGCGTGGGTCCCCGGTGCTCAGGACCGCGGGCTTCGCGCCGGGGTCCCACGTGGAAAGTCAAGCGTTGGCGCCGCCGCCTTGGGTATGTGTTAGTGTGTTGGGTGTGTTAGTGTGTGTTTATCATGTTATTGTGTGTTTAGTGTGTCACTGCACTATATTGTTTGTATAGTAGCGTGTTAATTGAAATTGGTGTATCATTTGGCAGACGATATCGTCGTCTAAATTAGTTAATAAATGTATGTATGTTGTGTGCTTTGTACCGACCGCGTCTACTGTGTCCGTTCACTCCAAGATCATGGCGTGGCGTTCGCCTCGCCGAGACCCCACAAGGGATAGCCGCCGTGATAGCTCAGTGGTAGAACATCGAATGCGTTATTCGAAGGTCGTAGGTTCGATTCCTGCTCACGACAAGTTATTTTTTTGCCCACTTTTCTTTCTTCTTATTTACATTACATTAGTTCTAATAACTTCCCGGATACATTCCTTGGCATTTAGATCTCATTAATATTGTGTCAAAACACGGAATAACGAGCCCTTAAGTATACACTTCTTTCCCTTATATATATATATATAGGCAGGCATGGTGGTTGAGTGGCCGTAGCGTTGCATATAGTCTAGTAGATCCTCCGTGAGCGGTCTCAACGTGGTTTATTTCGACGTTTCGGCCTAGAGTCTGGCCTTCATCAGGAATAAAGATACAGTTTGTCGGTGCTCAGCTTTATACAATCTCAAATCAGAGGGCAAGGTAAGAGGGGAAAAAAAAAAGGAAAACAAAAAAAGAAAAGAAAAGAAAAGGAAAGAAAAAAAAGAAAAAAAAGAGAAAAATAATATACGGTGAACGCCCCTCGGGTGCCCCCCTTCCACTTTTCCCTCCACTCCCCCCCATCTCTCTCCCCCCTCTCCCCTTCACCTTTCTGATGTCAGCGGTCTGTGTATGTTTCCGTTCACTAGCGCATTCCTCCCGATCAGACGGTCCCTCCTGGCACTGGCGGTTCGGTGTGGGGCAAAAAAGAGCTTTTCAGGAAGTCCTAAGCCTTTAACTGCTCGGGGTCCCGTAAACAATTCGTCGTAGAAGGACGGGGGCCGCGTATTGTGGCAGAGGCTGGTCAGCGGGCATTTTAGGAAGTTCTAAGCCTTTAACTACTCCGCGCCCTGTCAACATTTCGTCGTAAAAATAGGGGTGCCCCGTATTGCGGTAGGCTGTGCAAGCGCGTGCAATGCGAATTCCTGGCCCGCTTCTAAATTACGCGTGTCGTGGGGGCCTCCCGGCTGTGCACATGGTTGCTGTTGGGCATGTCGTGCATGGCACAATTGATTGGGTAGTAAAATAAAACAGAAAACAGACGACAGCTGCACTTAGGAAGAGTAGTTACACTTGGAATTGTTTTAGGTTGTCCAGTGCCCTTCGCAGCTGCAGTGCCGTGAACTCAGTTACTATTTTCATCGTTGCCGTTATTGTTTTCTAATGCTTTAATTGCTGCAAGTGTACCAGGATTCTCATTTATTCCTCTATCGAGGGTGTTAAATCGGTGGATAAGGTATGACTCTCGTTGTTCACGTTCTCGATTTGATTTAAATCCCGTCTCTAAGAGCGTTACTGATAGTTTGTCGAATGCATGGTCGGGAAGATTGAGATGTTTTGATAGAGGTAGACTTGGGGCTGATTTCGCATGGGCTCTGTGATTATTGAAGCGAATCCTAAATGGTGTTTCTGTTTGTCCGATGTACTGCATACCACACACGTTGCATTCGAGTAGGTACACCACATTAGAAAAATCGCATGTTAGGTTTCCTCGTATGTTAATCGAAAACTTGGATTGCGTGCTGGTTGCTTTGTCTGTTTTTCGCATCGCCTTACATACAAGACATCGTGGCTTTAAGCAAGGGCGGCATGAATTATTGGGGGGTGATGTGTTAATTTGGGAGTGGACAAGGGTGTCTTTGAGGTTACGTGGTCGTCGGTAAACGACGCCTGGAGCGGATGGGAATGCGCGTTTCAGACGTTCACTTTGTTCCAGAATGTTGTAATGTCGTTTAAGGATTTTGTTTACATTGGGGAAGTTTGTGCTGTAAGTCAAGCAGAGGTTTGTTCGTTGTGGGTCTTCTCGTGGTGGTCGCTTCATAAGTAAGTCTTCACGCTTTAGTTTTCTCGCTTTTTGAACAGCGTCATTAATTACATGTGGGGGGTATTTTTGTTGCTCGAGCATAAGTTTTAGCCTTTGTGAGCTCGTGTCAAAGTCAGCGTCTCTAGAGCAGATTCGCTTAAACCGGTGAGCCTGGCTGTATGGAATACCGTTTTTACAGTGGCGTGGGTGATCGCTTTGGTAATGAAGGTATTGTTGTCGATCCGTTGGTTTGCGATATAGGGTTGTAGAGAGCTTCTCTTCTTCTATTGTTATGGTAACATCAAGAAAATTTACGGTAACTTGCGAGTATATGTGTGTGAAGTGTATGTTCGGATATACAGCATTGTAAGTGTCTATAAAGCTGAGAAGTTCGTCCTCGCTGTGGGTCCAAATAAGAAAGATGTCGTCTATGTATCTTCTGTATAACATTGGTTTCAAGGAACTTTGTGCAAGAAATTCAGATTCTAGCTTTCCCATAAATATGTTGGCATAATTAGGTGCCATTTTGGTGCCCATAGCGGTCCCGCTGATTTGTCGAAAATACTCTTGGTTAAACTCGAATGAATTTAATTCGAGGACCATCCTCGTCAATGTTGCAATGGCAGAGAAATCTGGGGTGTTAGATTGTCTATGGTTTGTGTACATGTTTCTTAGTGCAGCTATGCCGTCATCGTGAGGAATATTTGTATATAATGAAGAGACATCAAGGGTAACCAAGTACGAGTTTTTCGGCACACAGATACCCGCAATGTCTCGAAGAAAATGTGTGGTGTCTTTTATGTACGACGCGAGGGTGCATGGAATGTGGCTTATTAGTTTGTCCACGTACCCTGATATGGGTTCAGTTATTGTACCGATGCCTGATATGATTGGTCGACCTGGGTTACCGGGTTTATGAATTTTTGGGAGGATGTAGAAGCGACCTGTAGAAGTACGAAAACTTGCTGACAAACGAATTAGACATGAAATGCATAAATCAACATTGCAAGTGTACCTTCGTGCTAGAATAGCCCCCAAGGGTATGACACTCTCCCTCACACCAGCCGCTACAAATCTAGATAAACACGACAGAATAACATGGAAAAACGTCCTCCTTGAGGCATCCCTTACATTAACAGAAATTGCTCTTAATCATAGTGACAAGCAGGTAAAGAAACTGGTCGCTATGACCAACACCATTCTCCGCCACAACACTTTATCGAACGAAGAAATCACGCGATTAACAGAATTTGAGCAGAATAAATACCAAGCCATCAGGGCCACAAAACTTCACAAACTCGAAAGAGACCATGTGCCCAAACCCGCGTTCCCTGATACAGTGCATTATCATTACAACACCACCACACAGGAAAACACTAATGGTACAAACGAGCACCCATCTAGGAACACACCGTGTGACACTGTGGTTGTAAACTTATCGGACACGAGCTTGTCACCTGACGAAGTAAAACTGCTATCTAAGGGACTAAGCTTCTGCCCGACCACAAAATTTTTCGATGAATTCCACTTACTCCGAGACCTCGACAACTTCGCTCGAAG